GTCTTTCAAGATTCTCAGAACAAGTGGTAGTGTGGAAGCAATATTTTAAAATTCCATAGAGTCATAAACTACATAGAAGGGAGGGGAACATGAAATATGAATCAGACAGTCAGAAAAAAAGTAATATACTCTCTAAAATGTTAGGAGTTGCTGACCTACATGGTGTAGTTTTGACTCCTAAAATCAAAATGTGCAGAGAAGAAATAACACTCTAAATGATAAAGTCTTCTAACGTTAGAAAAACGTTGTACAGTTGTTGAAACAAAAGTGATCTCAACAGAATTCCATGGGCAAGTGTTGGTTATTATTGTATTATTCTCCTGCCTAAAAACACAGGTCTGAAAGCCATCTTTTCCAACTGTAATCCTATTCTATGAATAATGCATTCAAAAAAAATATATGGACAGCATCAGATGCAGAATTGATGTGGATTTTCCAAGAGGCAGCAACATCTCAGGTTGAGTCCCATCAGAGGAAATACCTCCTTCCCAACCCTTCCCTAGTCACAGAGGATTTAAATAGCCTGTGTCAAGGACATTTTATAGACCCTAACTGGTATAAACACAAAAAATACTGCTACCTAACTGGGATTAAGTCTAAAAACAAATCTAAGTACACATAGTCTAAGATATTACAATTTATAATCAATGAATATCTTCCTTCCTGACAAGACACTTCACTGTTCCTGAACACGCCCTCCACTACTTCCTGATTCCAGTGCCTGAAAAGTCTAGCTAGCCACCTCAAATTGCAGACTGGGCATATGTCCTAGCTTTAAATAATTTAAGAAAGCTAACTTTCCAGTCTTAAATTACCTTCCACAATGTTCCTACAAGAAAAAAAAAAGTGAGCCAATGGAGTGTAATCTTGAGCTTTCTTCAGATAGCCTCGAAAAAATAAAAGTGACCATGCCAACCAAAACCTAATGAAGACCCCCAGGATTATGAGTTGAGCAATGTCTGTGGAACCACTATTGTGTACAAAGCACTAGGCCAAGCACTGGCCATGACAAAGATGATGGAACACTTGTCCTGTGCTCACAGGAAGACAGGACAGTGAAGGGCAGATGGGGCTGAGTCCTGCCTGAAGTTACAGGCAAGAGGCTATGAGTGCAGAAAAATCGATATTGACTACTCAGGAAGCTGTGGTAGCCACTGTGGAAGAGGTGCCAACAGCTTGGGGCTTCCAAAGGCAGGAAAGAGCAGGGATGGTGTGGCAAAGTGAAAAGGCAATGTGTGCGAAGTTATCCAAGTATCTGGGGTTATGAGAGGTGATAACTGGCCAGTGTGGCTGACAGCAGATACCAGTTAGACCTAAGTTTAACATGAAACCCAAAAGCTAAATTTGGATCAAAAAAAATAAAAATGAAAGGCAATATGCACATCACCAAGGATATAAACTTTATAACATGGGTGACTGGGAGTAGGGGGCTATGATCTAACCTTGATCAATCTAGATGCCTTCATCTAATGACACTGGGAACCTGAGTGAACCAAGACACAGTCACCATTATTAAATGAAATCTCAGGCCTTTCTGGAGCTATGGGCCATTACATTGAATAGAGCAAGACCTAATACAGGGAATGGAGAGCAGGAAAGCTATATAATCACAGTCATCATGAGTTATTATTTTGTGTGTGTACAATGTACATATGTGTTATATACATGCATGTATATATGTGAGTGTGTGCCTGTGGGTGCATGCACCCAGGCATGGGAGGAGGCCATGTATGGAGGCCAGGGGTCAACATCAGGTGTCTTTCTCTACTGCCCCCCACCTTCCTTCTTTCTTTGAGACAAGGTCACTCACTGAACCTGGAGCTGCCATTTGGCTAGACTGATTTGCTAGCAACCCTCCAAGATACACCTGTCTCTGACCTTCCCCTCCAGTGCTGGAGATACATACACATGTCACCACGCCTGGCTTGTATGGCAGTGCCTGCAATCCAATCTCTGGTCCTCGCACTTGCATGGCAGACATTTCACACACCAGGCAATCTCCACAGCCCAGATCATGGATTTTTAATTGGGATATTATCAGGAATGGTTTTCAACGTAAAAGAGGTAGTTTCTGCCGCAGTAAACCTAGCAGAGGCTAGACAGGAAGCTGAATTGCTTTCTCCTCTGCATTCAGCACCACTGAGACTATCAGTAGCCTATCCTGAAGCTACTAGCATTAAATAAAGTTCTCACCTTTAACCCATCACCTGACCCAGCAGAGGCAGCACAACAATTACCCCATTCCACAACTATTTCAGTCCACATACAATCTATACTAATTAAGCTAGTGTTCTCTGTGTGTCTCTCTGTCTGTCTCTGTCTCTGTGTCTCTGTCTCTGTGCCTCTGTGTCTCTCTCTGTCTGTCTCTCTCTGTGTGTGTGTGTGTGTGTGTGTGTGTGTGTGTCTGTCTGTCTGTCTGTCTGTCTCTCAATATGCAGGATTTCATCCAGTCAGCTCTTTGAAGGCAGGCTCTGGGACAGTGCACTGATCACAAACCTCCTGCAAGTTTAATGTGAAGGTCACGGCTTCAGAAAATAGGAAATGCAGTGAAGCCGATGAGCAGCGCCTCTGTAGCTAGTCTTCAAGATGATCCCACCGTTGACACCCTGCTAAATAAAATACCCTGAGGAGAAACCACTTGTAAATAAATAAAACCAACGGCCATCTGTAATCTTGTAATCCCAGCACTTAGGAGGCTGAAGCAGGAGGATCACAAATTCAAGGCCCATCTACACTATACAGCCAGACCCTGTCTCAAAAGAAGCTATGCAGGTAGGCCCAAAGACCGGTATGTTTACCTAGAAGGTCTTGAGTTGTATCACTCATAGATTTATAATCAATTACAAAGCTATATACTTTGTCAAAATTACTGTCATTTCTTTATTAGGAGTTTGAGTTGACTAATGCTAGCTAGCTTCCTGTCTTAATCATTCACTCAATGAGTAAATGTTTTAGCGCCCTCTACTGGCCACTTGTTACATACTCGTCAGCTCCTAACACGGCCTTCATGGTGCAGATGCTCCTAAGACAGATGATGGCCACAGCACGGGTCTCCTAATTCCTTCTTAGGAGCTATCACAAAGTGGGGAATCCTGGGGTGCTCTCCTGACACCGCTTGTGGATAATTTCCATCCCAGCCGACAGATTCCACACGCACTCACCTGGACAAAACACTCAAACATAAGCATCATTTCTACACTCAGAGACGCGCCCATCCTGCCTGCCTGCTTCATCTAACAGCACTCTGGTGGGACGGTGGCACCTGGAGAGACCAGCTCATCTATCATTTGTATAAACAGAAGTCACTAAAAAAAAAATAATAATAATAAAGGAATTTTGGCTTGGAACAAAAACGGAATTTTCATCAATTTCTGAATGACTCTAAACAAACCTTTGCCATTTTCTACTATGTACATGTGAGATGTAGTCATCTCAGAATTGATGGCTATAAAATGGAAATATCAATAGCCTCTGAAAAACAATTGAAAATGCTCTAGGTTCTGTAGTATGGAATATTCAGCCCAAATATCATTCTTTGTGTAAAACAAACAAGCATCTCTGTGTCATCGATATGTAAACTTGTTTTCATCTTAATAAATGCTAAAATTACATATATATAAAAAATTGCTTTAAAATAAATTTCTTTCTGATCTACATTACCAGTAAATGTTTGACTCGGACACCTATATACCAGGTTCATGTAAAAAATTTTCAGGCTCGAAAAACCAAAAAAAAAAAAAAAAAAAAAAATTTCAGGCAAAGGAGTCATGAGGAGAAAAAAAGTTCTGATATAAGGAAGAAGGTCCCTGAGTAAAATCAAACACTAGCAACTGTGGACTCTTTATAACATTCTCATTGTTTGGATCATTTTCTCTCAGGAAGCAGAAAAAACTAAAGGCAACATGGTTTTCATCGTCCAACAGCAGAAACAAAGGATGGGGAGAGAGGCAAGAAAACACAAGGTGGAAAACATCTTCTTTCTATACTCTACCCATACCAAACTACTATTTACTGATCAATAAATGTTTACTGGTTTGACATTATGAATTCAGCACAAACATACAGAACACATTAAGATCTAAAAATCATCCCTGCCGTCACAGATGTCACAATCTGGTTGAACAAAACAAACACATCAGGGCTGGAGAGATGGCTCAGTGGTTAAGAGCACTGACTGCTCTTGGAAGAGGACCAGCATCCACAGCACATGTCTCACAACTGTCCCTAACTCAGCTCCAGGGACTCTGATGCCCTCTTCTGGTTTGCATGCACTGCATGTAAATAAACATGATAAATCATTCCCAAAAAAATACATGTTAAAGGAAATAATAAGAACAAAGTGTCATATCCTTAAAGAAAAGCATTCCCTGGAAATCCCATAAATATATACATATACACAGAAACACCTTTTCTTATGGAAACATTATCATCAAAATATTAGTCATGATGATCTCTGATGGGATTTCTGATTTTTTTTTTTTTTGGTTTTTTTTTTTGGTTTTTGGTTTTTGGTTTTTCAAGACAGGGTTTCTCTGTGTAGCTTTGTGCTTTTCCTGGAACTCACTCTGTAGCCCAGACTGGCCTCGAACTCACAGAGATCCACCTGCCTCTGCCTCCCAAGTGCTGGGATTAAAGGCATAAGCCACCACCGCCCAGCTTCTGACCTGTTTTTAATTCTTTAGATTTTTCAGTGCTTTTTGACAATGAAAACACAGTGTCTTAAAGAGAACAGAAAAAAATTAGCACTTGATCAAAAACTTAGTAAAGACACCACCTAAAAAAATAGAGTACAGAAAATAGAAAATAACCTATGATATAAACACAGTTACATGAAAATACACTGAGAGAAATCATGTGATATTATTAATGACTTCTGTGCCCAGGGGCTACAGTGATTTTTGCCCTGTGTTTTTTCATTTTTCTAGTACTTTTATTACACACACACACACACACACACACACACACACACACACGACCTTCACTTAAAGAAATTTGAACACGTGCAATGGTGTGTGAATGTCTTCAGCCTGAAATCACTGTGAAGAGTGAAATCGAGCTTTTTAACCCTGAGTCACAGCTTCTGTGACTGCTTTTTTGTGACTGTAGCAGCCCAAGCACTCAGGCAGAGTGGTTGTGTGTTCCAGAGGCCAATACAGTCACCACCTTGGTGGAGAACAATTAGACTCAGCTGGTGGTGAACGCCTACAACACAGACCCCATTGAGCTGGCGGTCTTCCTGCTTGTCCTGGGTTGCAAGTCGGTCCCCTACTGCACCATCAAAGGGAAGGCCAGGCTGGGGCGGCTGGTCCGCAAGAAGACACAGACGTGCACCACGGTTGCCTTCACACAGGTTAACTTGGAAGACAAGGGTGCTCTGGCTAAGCTGGGGGAAGCTATTAGGACCAATTACAACAGATAGGATGATATCCGCCGCCACTGGGGAGGCTGCGTCCTGGGTCCTAGTTGGGGGATAATGTTTCTGCGCACTGTGAAGATGTTTGTGATTGGTTTAATAAAAAGCTGAATGGCCAATAGCTAGGCAGGAGAGAATAGGCGGGACTTCTGGGTAGAGAGGACTCTGGGAAGAAGAAAGGGGAGATGCTAGTGAGACTGGGACAGATGGGACAGAGCAGAGGTGACTGAGACACATGGCAGATTGCAGATTAATAGAGACAGATTAAGTTGTAAGAGCTAGTTGGGAAAAAGCCTAAGCTATGGCCAAGCTTTCATAATTAATAAGAAGTCTCTGTGTCATTATTTGCAGGCTGGTGGCCCCTATGAGAAAGTACTACTACAGGTACTAAATCTGTGACTTGCATTGCCAAGCTGGAAAAGGCAAAGGCCAAAGAACTTGTCCCTAAACTGGGCTTAATGTCTACTGTATGTTTTCAGTACATGAATATAATTACAAAATTATCTTCCATCTAAAAAAAATTTTAAAAGAAAAAAGAAATCTAAACACTAAACATTTATTCATCCTTGAGCTGGTTGGTTTTGTTTGTGTGCATGTGTGTATGGGTGTGTTGTGTTTTTATCAACTTGATACAAGCAAGAGTTATCCAAGAAGAGGGAACCACAACTGAGAAAATGCCTCCAGAAGTATGTGCTGTAGCTGGGTGGTGGTGGCGCACGCCTTTAATCCCAGCACTCAGGAGGCAGAAGCAGGTGGATCTCTGTGAGTTTGAGGCCAGCCTGGTCTACAGAGTGAGTTCCAGGACAGCTATGGCTGTTACACAGAGAAACCCCGTCTCAAATAATAATAATAACAATAATAATAATAATAATAATAATAATAATAATAATAAAGATTGTGCTGTAGGCAAGACTGGAGAGCTTTCTTAACTAGTGATTGACGTGGGAGGGCCCAGCTGATTGTGGGTGGTACCACCCCTGGGAAGGTGGTCCTGGGTTTCATACAAAGGCAGACTGAGCAATCTTGAGGAACAAGCCAATAAGGAGAACCCCTCAGTGGCCTCTGCTTCAGTTCCTGACTCTGGGTTCCTGCTGTGACTTCAATCAGCATATGTCACCTCAGAGCTGTAAGCTGAAGTAAACCCTTTTCTCCCCAAGCTGCTTTTGGTATCGGTGCTTTATTACAGAAACCCTAACAATCTTCATTTTAAATTTCAAAAGATCGTTTGTCAAAGTACCTTAAAGCTAACCATTTCCCCAGTAGCATACCTGGAATGAGCGCTGTACTGATAAGGATGTCCACTTCCTTGCACTGCTGAGCAAAGAGCTTCATTTCTGCTTCAATGAACTCTTTGGACATCTCTTTTGCATAGCCTCCTTGGCCCTCACCAGATTCCTTCAAGTCCACCTCCAAGGGTTCAGCACCAAGAGACTTGAACTGTTCCAAAGCTGCAGCTCTGGAGTGTGGAAGGGGAAACAGTAATTAATTAGTCCCCTGTTATATACATCAAAATCCTCTTTACACATACACTTTAAGTCAGTGGTTCTCAACCTTCCTAATGCTGCAACCCTCTAATACAGTTCCTCATGTGGTGACCTACAACCATAAAATTATTTCGTTGCTACTTCATAACTTTAATTTTTCTATTGTTATGAATTGCAATATAAATATTTTTGGAAATAGAGGTTTGCCAAAGGGGCCATGACTTTAAGTAAACCCTACATAGTGAAAGTCAAAAGTTTATTTTGCTATCTCTGGCTTGATTGTTTCAGTGACAGAACATAGGCAGTTCTCACATACTTTTTCTTAAGAGAAAAAAGAAGAATCCCAATTCCTATTTAAACTAAAAAAAGAAGGTCACTATGGCCAATATCAGTTATAAGTCCTTTTGGTCCCAATATTGATAATGGTATGACATTTGATATATTGAGGTTTGGTATAATTCATATCATACAAGTTGAGGTTTTTCATTATAAATTGCTGAGTTCTTATTGTGAGATTTTCCCACATAAATGGCTTTTGTTAGAAATACTTTATAATTAAAGTGATTTGGGGGGTCTCAGTTCTCATAAATTCATAAACTGATTTTAAAAAGCAAACAGATGTGGTGGTGCATGCCTGTAATCCCAGAATTGGAAGGAGGAGGTAGGAGGATGACCAGGACCTCAAAGAAAGTCTAAACCATATGAGATGGTGTCTCAAAAGAAAACTGTAGATGAATAAATGATAAAATGTGAAGAGCCAATATGTTTAAATTATGAGAAACACATCCAATTTAAAATAAATAAATGCCACACAATCACCATATTCTGGTTGGAAAATGGAAGCCAGTAACAATTTCAGTGGTGGAAATCGCTAGTATCCCTGCCACTACAATAAATCTCACACTTCCTTAATAACAGCAATCACTAGAGGTGCTTACGACAATTACAAATATAGTCATTAAAATATTTTATATAAAGAAAGATAGTAACTAGGTGTGGTGGTTTGAAGGAGAATGTCCCCCACAATGCTCAGCTTCCTGCTCCAGTCACCAAGCTACCACGCAGTCTTAAAGGACTCTCATCCCTATGGAACCATCAGCCCAAATAAACTCTTTCTTTTATAAGTTGCTTTGGTCATGGTGTTTTATCATAGCAACAGAAAAACACCTACTACATTAGAACTAGCAGTGCACACATGTAACAGGGCTGATGCACAATCAACTCACAGAGACTGTGGCCGCATGCCCAGGGCCTGCAGTAGTTCCAACCCAGACAGCGTCCCAGCGCTGAGATGGAGAAGTAGACAAGAGCTCCCATCCCCAACCAAGAAGCGATCTCTAATAAACTCTCCCAGTGAAGCCTCAGTGGGTATACAGACCACACTTAAGGGCAGGCCCCATGCCCAGCAGCAGACAAAGGTATTTTTGAGATATTTTGGCTCATATTGTTTTGTGTGGGTATGTTCTACCTTACTAGTCTTTTGTTTGTGTATTATGGTTTCTGATTTTGTGTTTTTTTTTTTTTTTTTTGTTTTTTTTCGAGACAGGGTTT